CTCAGTCGTCCCACGTACGCCTGTCACATCCTTGCTGGTGCGTCGATGCGCAGTAGGCCAAATTCCTTCCCTCAGGCAACATGTCTGTGAGTTGATAGGCCACAGCCAGGAGGGACTATCGCTACGTGACTCTCGCTCCTCAGGGGCGGACCGATTAACCCCGCCGGTTGGCAACCCTCCCAGCCAACCCTCCCCGAGGCAACTGACGTTTCATTAGGTCGTGTTTTATCTTGTCAACCTCCCCCCTTACCTTTGTGATGCTCACTCGTCGGTAGGTCCTCAACAAGTGTTTACCGTCTTCTAATCTGAGTCGATTCTCAACCCTATATTTGAACCCTTTCAGTTCCCCTGACATGCCCGACCTCGCCCTGGCAAATACACCAGTCGAGCGCAAGTCAGTGAACCAAAAATGACCCGGCGTTGCAGTTCACCTACACACTCATACTCCTCTGAGCAAGCTGCACAGCCTTAAATAACTGTGGCGTGCACTTGTATGATGATAATGATGCCAAACACAGTTGAGTCACTCACTCACTCACTCTCTCCCTCTCTTTCTTTCTCACCCTGATGGGTTTTGGCATGGCAACCTGCAGAAGGCTGTTTCTGCGGCCTGCCAATCATAGTCTGACCGTTGAGCCGTGTGTTTGTGTGCGTGCTAAACGCACACTCGATCGTTCAGCTGTCGCGGATGACGCCAGTGTGCCTCTCTCGTTTTTCGCTCATACGTGCACGTGCTGCAAGCTCATGTAGTAGATGCCCTTATTCATGGACTCTGGGTATTCTTACAAGAAAATCCCTGCGTTACGCAGAAGCAGCCCAAATTGCGCCCTCGCCAGAGTCTTATAACAGTAAAGCAACGATCCCTAGTAAAAGAATAAAGGCTTATTGCAGTTTACCAAGTAATATTACGTGGTTTAGAAACATTAGGCGTTTTTAGAAAAGCCGCAAATGAACAAAAAACGAGGTTACTAAGTACACCTAAGCTTTAAATGCAGCAAAAGCCTGTTCATGCAAAAAACAAAACCAAGTAAATAAAGTAGCACAAGGGAAATTACGTTTGAAAGTGTATCCTCTTATGCTTACGCGCGGTGTCAATTAGGACTGTTACCAAAGAGGCCAACTTTCGAGTAGGTATTCCAACGTGAATTGTCGAGAATTGCCAGTTGTTTCTTGCGTTTATACATTGTTTGAGCTACGTTGGATTAGGGCAATCTGGCTTTTGCTTGACTGCGCCGACTGGGACGTCACAGAAGTAGGTTCATCTGCGGACATGCCGGTCAGTGACTAATGAAAGTAAATAGAATTTTCAGGGGCAGTCGCAAGCGTAACATGTTGTGTAAGTTAGGATAAATTTCCTTTCGTCTCGCTTCTTTGTAATTACTTCGTGCGTTCAATTACAACGAAGTTCAGATCGTTCTTGAAGTGGTGGTGAACACTTTACGATTTAAAAAACTGAATCCGCTCTCCTTTTTGCAAAAACAATGCGATTTCTCATATCTGTATTTACCTTATTTTCATGAGGTCAAAACGAAATTTTCCGTTGTCTGAAAAGAAATAATGAAAACCTTTCGGGCTTTTATTAAGGCTCCTTTACAGGCAAAAAACGCATTAACGAGACCTTTTGGATCCGCGCAGCGTTTAATAGCTCAGCCAATTCCTTGGATATCAATAAACATTGGATTTGGCCCACCTCGGGGCGCACATATTCCTCCAGTGCACTGATTTGGACTGAACTCTTCTAGTAAACAGTATTTTGCGCCTCATTGAACAAAGTAAACAACCTCAAATATGTGTTAAACCACCAACTAAAATTTCGATCTTCACATGTCATGAGTTAGGCAATATACTGTACTTGTGATCAGGCAGCTCCGAATCGCAACGCACGTGCTGCGTTTTGTGTACTCATTGAGTCACATTTTAAGGTTAGGAATCATCTGTTAGGTGACAATTTGAGCCATTTCAGAGGCCAGGACTACTGGGCATCTGAATGTGTTTTTTTCTTGGACTAAGTAAATTAGCTTCTTGTATGTTAGTAGCTCTTCAAGTTTCCACAGACGGCCTTGTGCCTTGGGGCTCAATCTCGAGCTCAGCCAGCGGTCGTTTGGGGGCTTAGTGCATTAGAAGCAGAAATATATTACCGACAAAGACACAAGACAAGCCAGAAATGGCCATTCAGGTCTGCCTGGTCTTTGTTGGTAATGTATTTCTGCCTCTAATATACTAGCTACTGAGCAGTTGCTGACGGGACTCGACATTGTGTGTGGCCCGTAACGTGCTCCGTGAGCGCTTCGCTACCATCTTTTATAGATTTGAGTTGACCCAGTTGTGAAAAAACTCAAGGCGTTCGGCGGGATTTGAACCCGCGTATTAGAGAAGACCTTTACCGGGAGCCAACGCTCCAACCGCTAAGCTACCAACACCCCGCCTCGCGTCATGAATTTAATCATACTTGGGTCGATATTACTCGCCCAACTTTACCGCCCATATGGAATCCACCAATGCGGAAGAGCAAGCTGACTGCCCAAGGAGGATTTCCTAAGCGGGTTAAAATCCCGCCGAACGCCTCGAGTTTTTTTCACAATCGGGTCAACTCAAATTAAGTAAATCTGCCAAACCTCCTAGTAGTCAGCCTAGTAGTCATTCTGGTAGATTCTAGATGATTGCTTAGGCAGGCAGCTTGCTCCTCCATATTGGTGGATTCCATATGGGCGGTAACGTTGGGTGGGTAATATCGACCCAAGTGTGATTAAATTCATGACGCGAGGTGGGGCGTTTGTAG